GCGCGGAGCGGCTGCCGGACGCCTCGGGTGCCGGGGCGGGCGGACCATGGATCGTGCGGCGGGCGCCGTCCTCGGGATGCTCTTTCTTTTGTCTGCTCGGCCGTGGAGCACGGCGGTGGCAGGGAGCCCTTGTGAGTACGGCACATCTTTTCCAACTTGCGTTGACAACTTAGGATTTGTGTTTTTATTAGTAACGAGTGTTTGCAGATGGCAGCGCTGGCGTGTTTGGGAAAAGGAGGCATTCCAAAAAAAAAAAAAAAAAAAAAAATCTCTCCCAAGTACCAGCGCCAAGATAGGAAGGTTTCTCTTGCTTTGCTTTTTCCCTCCTGCCAAGTCTGAGATCCAGCAAAAGCCTGTGTTTGACTTTTTTTTTTTTTTTTTTTTTTTGCCGGCGAGCTGAATCTTCCCTGAGAAAGCTCAAGTTTTTAGTAAAACCTGCAGCGGGCATGAGAATACAGAGGCGCGGAGAGTCCGGCGGGAGAATAGCTTCAGAGGAGGGGAGGCCAGCAGGCCGGCGTGGTCATTTATCTCCTTGCGGTGTACACGCGTTCGGGAGGAAGCGTGTCAGCGCGAAGCGGCGGGTCCTGCATTAGCGCACACGTTTGCAGCGGGCGCTCTGCGGAATTCGGGGCGCCGCGGCGCCGCCCACCCTGCCTTGGAGGGTCCCCGGGATTCCGGGAAGCCGGACCCCTCACGAGGTAAAGGGAGGGACAGCCTGCCTTCCAGGCTCCTGTAGTCCGTGCACCTGCTTGTGTGTGGCGACGTGCGTGTTTCTGCTTTTGTAGGTTCCCTGAGGCTACGGTAGCCTCTGGGTCCCGGGCTAGCTGCCGCCGAGTCCCATCTAAAGATGCTCGCTAGCCCGCCTCGAGGTATCTGACTCTGGAGATCAGGAGAAGTTTGAGGAGTGTTGTTCAGATTGACACCTCCATCCAGGGCATTTCTTGCCTTGATGGATTTTAAGAAACTCCCTGTCCTCCCCCTATCCCCCCTTCCCTTCCTGTCCCATCCGCCTAAAGAAAATTAAAAAACAAACAAACAAATCAGGTGTAGGGCTTCGGACAAGCTAGTAATACATTTCAAGAAAGTGCTAGCAGGCGTGCTCAGAAACCGACTTTGCTGCTGGGTACCCGGATTTAGCTCTTGGGGCCCCACCTCTGTCCTCACTGGGAAGCCGGCTCAAGTGGGAAGCCTTGCACATAGAGTTACCTTCGCGCCCATTCATGCACGGATGCCGCGGGGCTGTGAAGGTTTTGCGGTGTCATGGTCTAGTATCAGCTTATTTAATGCCATGTCGTGTGTGAGTCACTCCTCAAAATGAGCCTTAATCTCCTTGAAGCAGCTACTGCCCCGCGTTTCAGACACAATTTTAATTTAGCTTGGTGGGACAACTGCTCTGAATTAATTAAAACGGGGGCGTTTACATACAATCAAATCCTTAAATCCTTCGGCAGAGCACTTGTTATTGTGCTAAGAAATTCAAAATGACTAGTACTAAGTGATTTGCTGATATTCGTACATTGGAGAATAACTCAACGTCCTTACTCTGAGGTGCCATTAAAAAGTCACCGGAGGTCACTCGTACTTCAAGGAAACGTGGGTTCGAAAATCCTTCCCAGGAGAGAAAGCAGAGGGCCGGCTTCTTAGTGGTGATTGCAACATATGGGCAAGATCAGTGGTATTTATTTTCACTTAGTATTTTACTCCCTGAAATCCACGTAGGTATCATGTTCTTTCACACAGAGCCTCCTTCTTACAAGGCACCTGCTCTGGGGTGCTCTGTGACTGATTATCCATGCAGGTTCCCATGTCTGAATTGGATGTGTCCCGAGCTCAGTCCCCCTGGGACTGAGTCTCTGGGTGACTCTTCAGATGTTGATGCTGGTTTTTTTTGCCTCTCAGCCTCGTGTACTTAGGTGTATTTGGGACTCTTCTCAAAAGTTCCATAAATTAACCTATGTAAATTTGCATTGCTAAGGGCATTTTATTTATTTATTTTATTTATTTTTATTTTTTCAGTATATGAAATTTATTGTCAAATTGGTTTCCATACAACACCCAGTGCTCATCCCAAAAGGTGCCCTCCTCAATACCTATCACCCACCCTCTCCTCCCTCCCACCCCCCATCAACCCTCAGTTCTCAGTTTTTAAGAGTCTCTTATGCTTTGGCTCTCTCCCACTCTAACCTCTTTTTTTTTTCTTTTTTTTTTCCTTCCCCTCCTCCATGGGTTTCTGTTAAGTTTCTCAGGACCCACATAAAAGTGAAAACATATGGTATCTGTCTTTCTCTGTGCTAAGGACATTTTAGATAACTAAAGTTCAAGTCCTTGATGGGATCACCACAAAGATGACCCTCTTCAAGGGTCAAGTATACATTTCAATGACTTCGAAGATTCACAGGGGCCACCCAGATGGCGTTTGATAATTTCCCAGTAATCCCCTTTGGCATCATGTGTAGCAGTAGACGTAAATGGTGAATGAATCGCATGCCTGGATTAGCTAATTTGCCGGATTCAGTTTTTCTTTAACTCCAGCATATTTGGGAAGTGTGTGTTCGATGTGTGTGCAAGCACGGTACATCAGACATGGATTTGTAGTCTCTTATCACTAAGTCAAGGCAGAGGGGTCTTTTTGTTGTTGTTGTTGTTTTGTCTCATCATTTGAGAAATTCTAGAGAGGAGTTTGCCAGCAGTGTGGGATTTAAGCTACGAACAAGAAATCACGAATATCAACATTGCTTAAGAAATTTTAAATCAGGAAATGACACACTGGAGGGAAAATGTTTCTAAATGGCCATGACCATGGGCTTGTTTTGTTGTTCCGTATTCTCCGTCTTTTTGAAGATAAAACAAGTGGGCTGAACTGCCTCCTCCAAAATATGGCCACGGACTTGATATTTAGAAAAAACATGTGAACATCTATCTAGTCTGCCTTTTAGAACCCTCTGTCCCAAGTCAAGACGAGAGTGTTATAATATGATCTGTCCTCTGAAATAACTCAAGAGGGAGGTTATAATATAGGTTTCCAAGTTAGAGCCCTGCTTTCTAGAAGTTCTTATGTAGGCTGTTGCCTCCTTTAATTCTTACCAAGCGCCACAAATGGAAGAAGGCAATAGCTCTCTGTTTTAGAATTATTCTTGTAAATCCACGACTCCTTTATGAATTTCAAGACCTTTCTGGAGGCAGAAGAGATAGGATCTGAATATGAAAATGTCAACATTTCGATTGTGTATTTAGTGTTGTAAGCCTGTGTCCTGGATCGCACCTCAGTCCGAGGGGTAACGTTCACCCCCTCCCCACTTAGGAACAACACAAGTGAAAGTTAATGTACAGCTGAATTATTTTCCCCATGTAAGTAAGGTACAAGCTGTGGCTGATAGCTGATCCCCCCCCCCCCGCCATCGCCACTGAATAAGGATAGACGCATATGTTAGAAACTTCAGTCGTTGATGGTGATTATTTGTGATATAAATGATGACATTTTTACAGATCGCGGGATTCAATTTAGTGAGTATGACTGACTTGTTCTTCCTTCGTTAAATCTCAGTACTTGTAATTTTCTCTAGAAGCTTCCTTGTGATTCCTTCCCCTGTCAAAAGCACCCTTCTCGTTTCATGGAAAAAAAAAAAAAAAGATCTATTTCTGGCCCACTGCAGGTGGGGTATACACTTTGAATTGCCCTTGTAGGGGTGATCATGTAAATTTGTTTTTCTATATTGGCACCTGTCCTCTTCCCCATTAAATCCTAGACCAGAGAGGTCTCTGACCATGAAAGGGGGTGTGGATCGAGCCCATTTTGTTTGCCAGCATGGGAAACAAACCCATGACCTTCACAACTACCTAGTGTTTGATCTAAGCAATAAACATGTTAACACCTCAATTTGAAGATTTGTACCAGAGTTGAACCCTTTCTTCATTCGAGCCTAAGCTGCTTTATGTGCAGAAGCATTACTGTATCTTCTTTGACGAAAGTGCATTCATATAATCCCGTGGTAGAAATTATCATCCAATAGTATGCTTTTGTAATATGAATAACATACATAGCTTGATGTAATAGTGAGACAGTTGAAGTGTATGAATTATCCTAACTTGGTGACATGATTAACCTTAATAATTTGGTATAAAAATATATGCATGCAGACTGGGTGACTGGACATAATGCTACAGTTGCTAAGAAGTATGAAATCACGACAACTTATTTAAGCAAAGTACTTGTCATATATCTCTTCTCGAGGGTTTTGTTTTTCAGAAATAGTGGACGCAGATTCTTTGTAATTATTTGCTAAGTGTCATCAAAATTCTTTATTGCTAACTGAGCCTACTCAATCTTCCAGTAATGTCAGGAGTGCTAAGAGGCTCAAAGTAGTCGACAAAGAAATTTCGCCTTGGCTATTACGGACTAAAATCCTTCCAGTATTTTAATAGGCTCAGGCTTTTCTTTGCCTTAATAGCATGCTTAGTGCTTGTCTAGAGGGAGTCCAGTCTTCCAAGTTAATCAGCCTAAGGTGTCAGAGGGTGTGCCCGTGGAGCAGGTGAATGGGGAACCCATTCTCGATACAATGAAACGTGTTGGGGAAAATGAGCTCAGAATATGGGGATGTGTGTTTTAGCAGGAACTGGAGCTGAGAGTTTTTTTGGAAAGAGCCTTCCACAAACTAGTGAATAGATCCTTAGTTATAGTATTTGAATACACTTCCCAGAAATACTGAAGGTGAAGGTGCTTTTCAGAAGCAGAGAGAAAACAAAAACCTCTTCTCTCCAGAAAACTTGCAAAGTCCATGGTGACTGTCAGCACAAAGTGACAGGCAAGAACAGAGCTGGGTTTTTTGGGGGTTGACACTTCACGATTTTGGAAGATTCTCTAAGCAAAAATAAACGAAATAACCCTGAGGACGTATCATCGGTGACCCTCCCAAGCCTGGAAGGGTGTTTTGGGGAGAGGACTGGAGGTCATGAGAATCCACTTTTTTGAGTTGATTTCGGAAAAAACCCAGCTCATTCAAAACTACTTCATAAGGGACATATTCATTAACAAAAACGTCTCAACTGAACAGATTTCAAGTTGAAATTTTCTCCTTAAGTCAAAATTAGACTTTGAATATAAAAGTATAGAATAGCTCCAACAATTTGGAAG